CTACATGGGCAGTGGACTCCAGTTCAGTAAGCAGTGCCACTGTTACCCATGCACTCCAAAACCAGGCACATCACGTGACAGTCTGGGGTTATCCCAGAGGACTTCTGGAGTGACACAACTTCTCTCTCTTCCTGCAAGGGAAGGGCAGGCAACAACCTGAGATGCACAGGCTGCAGTGCATCAGAAGGTCACAGCCAGGACAGTCCTGCCAGCCCCACCTGCCGGAGGGTTGTTCCCTGTTTTGTTTGCCAGGAACCTGCCTTCATTTCCCTGCACAGCTGGAAACTGTTCAGGACTGGATGGAATTAGCACATGGGCACAAAGCTACCATATGTTCAGATTTCCCTAGACTCAACCTGTCTTTCTGCCTGGAAATTGAGTGCAGATGGGATTTGAGATCTCAGGGGTATCTGTTGTGGGTCCCTGGACAAACAACTGCAGTGCATGTGGGGACCAGGGCACGCACAGTTATCTGGGAAATCTCAGACAGAAATACCAGGAATCAAGCATGTTGAACCAGACCACTTTATCCCCTTCTTGAGAACAGGGAGAGTAACTAACAGCAGAGAGACACTGGATAAGTCTTGTCAAAGTAACATAGCCTTGGGAGACCTTTTTCCGCGACACAGGCATCACTTTCAGGCACTGGGGATGTGCGTGGGCATGACTTGAATCCTAGCACAACAAAATGTAGCAATTTCTGATAATTTTAGCCTCAACATGTGCAGTAATGCAGTGTGCTAGCTAGTTTCTACTCCATGTGTCAGCTGACAGGAGTAGTAGAATGGTCTGAGTCAGCCAAGGGGCAGAAAAACATCACTTTCAGCAACACTGCATGATCAAGGGGACCCTTGAGGAGTGGAAAAGGTCAAGAATTTCCCTATCCCAACCCTGGCTCTCACCACAACTGTGGCAAATTAACTCCTCTGTCCTCATCTGTAAAGTGGAGATACTACTCACCTACCTCACAGAAGAGCACAGAGCTAATTGCCAGGGATAATTAAAGACTTGGCCTCAGAACTTCCTACATCGAGACAGCAAATGAAGCAAGACTCCACAAGTGTCACTGATCTTTGACATCTGGAGCTTCCAGCCCACTGAGGTCCTAAGAACAGCAGTGTTTAGTCTGACATCTAGATGTTCTTCATTGGTAACAGCTCGATGTGACCAACAAGTGCAATCTGCACAGTTTGGAAGACCAGGAGCCTTGCTTTTCTGCCTGAGCAGCACCTACTAAGCTGATGGGTACTAAGAAATAAATAATGCACCACTGTAAAGTACATCTGTATTCATAAACACCTCATTTTTCCAAGCAGTAATCAAAAGTATTATGTTACCTATGGTCAAAATGATTAGTCATGTTTCCAAAGATTAATTTACATGTTCTTTTGTTCAATGTGTACGAACTGATTTAATGGCTGCTTATGAACTGAGCTAACAGCCATTTTGAGAAACAGATGTCCGATGCAGTTTTAAGCATTAAAAGTGCCTTTATTCATATCCTTAGGAGAAAAAGGGCTACACAGTCTACAGTAACAACACTAATGAATCAAAGTACTACAGCTGCCCAACAGGGTTTTGACAGAAACCAGCTTTTTCTCAAAGGAGCTCTTTTTTTTAGGACTCTGGGACAGTGAACAACTGGTAGTATGCATGCTTAACATGTAAGTATGTGCTTTGCTGGAGCCAGGACACTGGATCAAGCCCTATCTGCAACCAATGCAAGGCTTTTGCATAAGCACTGGAAACTGTAACTGCACAAACACAGGGAAATCTGTACAGAATCTGGATCCTCCACTTTTTATACAAATAGATATTTGGAAGTTTGAGTTTCTGATACTATTTTGTGACAGACAATGCAGAACAGGCTGTCTGCCTTTAACTCTGATCGATTATTGTGTGTGGGTGGTAGAGTTAGGATAAAATAAAAGGAAGAAAGCTACTAGGAAAGGAGTTGGTGGCTGCAGATCTATGATAAATAAACAGCACATTCCTCTGCTGCACAAAGCCATTATAGTTTGTGTCAGACTTTAACATCCTAACGTCAGCTAGGTGCAGATTTGATGGCTTAGGGTTCTGCAGTGCTCCCTATGGAAAGCAGATTTGGAACAATTTGCCATGCCCCAACAGAGCACTTCAGCCAAGTTCCTGAGGAGCCTCTAATGCACCAGTTATTCACAGGACCCTTGCAACAAACCACAGGTTTGATATTTTACGGTCTGGTGTATACAGTGCAGGATATGATTACACACAAACCTGCTTCACATCAGCCATCACCTTGTAATCCTTAACATATTTATTCTTGTGGTGCTTCAAGAAGATGACATTGTTATTAGTTCCATTTTATAGATTCAGAACTGAAGCTCAATAGCTAAATTACTTGCCTTTGATTACATGAGAGTTACTGGGAAGGACAGCACTGAGTCCCAGCCCTACCAGGCACAAGCAAGGATTGCACCAGAAAGACTAGATCTTTGTGCAGAGCTATCCTTCATCTCATGCTCTTAAGTCTTATTAAATTACTCTATCTGCACTGGGTTTTATGCCTTTTGTGTCTCAGCCTTTGCCACAGCAGGTACCTGTAGGGAACATGGATGTAGATATATGACTACATGCAAAAGCTGAACTTAACAGTCTCCAGATCATGCTCAGGAACTTAACAGCAAGTTGAGGAACTTTGCTCAAATGCCTAAGACATGCTGAGACAGTGTATTAGTAAAGGCTGAGACCTAATAAGATCATCTTCCCCTTCTGCTTCATCTATAACACGCTGTGCTGGAAAGTATGTGGACAGATAAGTTTTAGCTGTAGTACAGGTAATCATCAGGTCTGGTTTAAGTACCAGTGAGTTAGAGGTTGTGAGTAAACACTGCTTTCCAGCACAAACCACCCCTCTCAGTATGGTCAATACATTGAACAAGTCCCATTGTATCTCCTGCATGAATTGGAGAAGAGAAGCCACTGCACAAGTAGAAAAAAACCTTCCAAACTCCTCACAAAGCAGTCAATAAGATGGAGAAAGAAAGCATTAGGACACACTGCTGTTTTTAGGTTGAGATCTCCTCACTCCCTCTGATACTATCACAAGAGTAACTGCTGGCAAGACACAGAGCTGATAGCTCTTTCCTTAACTGAACTGCTGTTCTGGAGGAATGGGCTGGTAATCAATTTCCACAGCGGTAACCACAGACCTTAGAGAAATGTATTGATCTTCTAGGAGGCAAACACTGGGAACCAGTCGTTCCTACCACTCAGGCTTCACATAGGGTGGGTGCACAGCTGCTACAGGTTAAGACAGATTTGCAACAAAGAGCATTGTCATGGATATGAAGCTCTGAATTTGACCTGCCTTCCTCTCTGTCTCAGAACAGTTAAAAACCCAGGTATACATTTGTGTGCTTCATGTTAGACCTCTCCTAACCTTTCACCACTCTGTCTTGAGCATATCTCTGTTTATCTTACCCTGAACAATGTAAAGCTTTCTTATCTAAGCAACAACTGTCTTCCAACATTAAGGTTTACCCATCAGCTGCCTCCCTGACCTGATGTGCACCCCGAATGTTTCTGATCATCCCCAACCACTGTGAACTCAGAGCTTGTACTGGGCATGCAGATTCATGCAGGAGCCCAGCATCTGTGAGAAGCCTGCACAATACTTTTGAGCCTACGAAGGCTTGGTGTGATTAGTGGAAATCAGATGGTAATACTTTGCTTTTTCAGTAGGGCCAACAAGACTATGATGACCAGGTCCAGTCTGACCAGCCTTCAGGCAGGGAAGTACTACACAAATCAGAGTCAGAGCAGAGGCTGGCTTGTATAATTACTACAAAAGTAAGACTATTCCTAAAGCAATAATAAAGGCACTTTAGAGTTTTTTCTACAAGCGCTCATATCTCATATTATTTACTAGTACACAGTATCAGCAACTGACATAATGCTTCCCCCAAAGGGTTAGGCAACTCAGAAACATGCATACATAAGGCAAATCAGAAGTCACCCACAAAACGGAACAAGAAAGGACATCAGAATCCTAATGAAGTATGAGGAATATTTTTCTCATGAAATGCTTGAAAGAAGAAAGAAACAGGAATTGAAACAGAGCAGGATGCTGTCCTTGCCTGGCACTACAGGAAAGAGCCGATTTCATTATGATCTCTACTCTTGGAACAAGAAAGCACAAATGTTCATCAGAGGCCAGGAAACCAAAGGAAATACCAAGATGAAAGAGTGCAACAGAGATGCATGTATCATTTAGATGAGAACATTAAAATTGATGGGAAGATGTTTAACTAGCAACTGACATAAGCTTAAAAGAGAGGAAGGGGAGAAACCAAAACAAGATCGAAGTGCAGATACTGCAGATGGCTTCAAACCACTGATAATTTCCTATAAATTGACTGTAGTCAAAAGTTACAAAGGAGGATGGATCTGCAGGCTCTCCTATTCTCACTTAAATCACCTGTTAGTCTTCAGACTATTACAGGCCAGGGTGGTACTGACATGCAATTATTGCCAGGACCTGCCTGCTTATGCAAGGCAAGATCAAAGTCACTGGAAAAAAATGTTAAAAAATCAACATTTTAACCAAAAGCTTTTTAATTATGAGCTTGAAAACAAAATGCTCAGGCAAAAATATCAGGAAACACTAATCTATGCCACCTAGTTCTTTGGATACCACAGCACTGTTCAACGTGGTACATTTTATAGGGTTCAGTCCAGTCTGATTTCAAACGCTACAGCATGAACAGCAGGTTCTACAGAACACAGTCAGAGCCCACTGTACATCAGTGAGTTTTGTCCAAAACACCTCTCAGAATATGCCCTCCTGAGTACTAGGCCTGTGAACCCAAACTGAACAACTCGTCTCCCCCGTCTTTGCACTTTGCAAGTACTTGCTGCTAGCCTTCCTCTTCCCCTGCCAAGTCTTTTCCCACCCAACTTTAACTGCACTCTTTAGCCTCCCTCCTCTCACCATCTGAGTTGTGCCAGGTGAAACTTACGGTGCTCGGTCGTGGTTCAACCCGTTCTGTCTTTGTGCATTTATTGGAGGTAGAACAGGTTTGCTGTTAATTTCAAGCCCTCTCCGCAAAGTCTCCCTGATTTGCTCCGTATCTGCAAAGAGAATTTATTTTAATGTGATTTAGAGTCCTCAGAAAAAGCACAGACACAAGGAGATGTCAGCTTTTTTTGTAAAGGCTTGTTTCTCTGCTGTGTTTCATCTAAACTCTTCTCCTTCAGAAAGAAATGAAGAGATACTAAGGGTGAATTCTTAACAGCTCTTCCTACATCTTAGGAGTTATTTAATTTCATAAAGTCAGCTTGAATTTCCTTGGTTTGGGCTGTGATGTTATGTCAGGCAAGGAGAGCTGGAACCTTTGGTACTGAGCCCTCTTGATGAGGAAATTTTGAGTAGTTTTGTATCTTTTCATACACAAATTGTTTGCTGTTTCTGCAGCTCTTGTAGAATTTCTTGCCACTTCCAGCCTTTTTGCTGGAAGTCACTTTTCCCATTAGGCGTTAACACAGTAACTCATTCCAAACGAGTGCAAAGAGGCTCCCGAGTTTTTGCAATTGGCTTTGCAAATCTGTTGATTAATTTACAACAAGATGCACAAAAGAAAGGAATTTTATGCCAGGCAAACTTTAGCCTCAAGCTCACATTTGGAAATAAACTGCAAATTATGGACTTGAGAAGCAGTCCTTTTACTTTTTCATTTTCCTATAGCGTCTAATGGCCAAACACTTTAACAGAATGCTTTCCTACTCTTTTTTTCCTCATCTTTTTTTTTTTTTATAAATGTGGGAATCAAGTAGAGAAAAAATATGCAAATTATTTCAAAATCTTTTGAAGGCTATACAAGTATCACCGTGCATACCTGTCTTGGGTTTTCATTTGTAGAGGTGAGGAAAAATAGCCTTTTTAGATCCAGTGAAGATCAAAACTTTTGCAGAAACCAGAAGGAACTCTACATGCATTTAAATACTTTTTTTTTTTTTAATTACAATGGACTTAAAAACAAGTAAAATAGCATTCCTGTGGAAATGATCATTAAGTCCAGGAAATCTCAAGTCCTCAAATTTTATGTTGCTTCACCCATTTGAAAGGTAACATATATATTTTCAAGCTTGTGTAATGGCTGTGATATCTGTACCCTGAGATGCCATCTCACTGCAAAGAGGAATTCCAATGCACTTTATTTTTTCTTTCCAGAGTTCCGTATTTCCAAGAATCACTTGAGTTCAGCTACAGCAACATGCAGGGTCAGTCCAACTTTCCACCCAAGAAGTGACAATGTTAATAAGAAAACACAGCATGGGAAAATGTAGTTGCTTTACCTTGCAGGTATTTACAGTCCTAGTTTCACCTAGTGCTCAGTTTAAGTCTGCAGATTTAGATTAGAAACAGCCTAAATACTGGAAGAAACATTTAGACAAAGCAACGCAAAGATCTCTTTTCCTCTTACTGCCTTCCTCAAAGAGGCCACACCAAAATTTGTCTGGCTCCCCTGAGACATACTGAGCCTTCCAGTAACTGCTGTTTGTTCTGAACCTCAGGATTTTGCATGACTCAACCACTGCCCAGACCCATCAGAAAACAGGCCAAAGGGCCACGAGAGCGACCCAGCCAGGATCTCTTACCTTTCCCAGAGAGCCGCCGTGGCTGGGTCCCAATGCAAATGCTTCTGCTGTCTTCGTCATCCTCCGGGGGCCGGCTCAGATCATCCCAGGCACATTTGGCACTCACTCCACTCAGGTTTGAGCCATCTGTCTCAATCCCTTTGTCAACTCTCTCCTGCTTGAAAAGATCCAAAACCCCAAGACTTTTTTGGGTGTGGTTTGAACCTGAGCTGGAACCCACCCTGGCTCAACCATATGTGCACAGGTCCTGCATGTCCTCTCTTCATAGCCAGTTTCCATTCCCTGGCCCCTGTGCTTTGGATGTACCAGCTAGGGGTGACTGCACATGGAACCAAATCAGGGAGCCGGTCTGAACTGGGACTAAACTTTTCCATAGCATGTTGTTCTGAACTTCTACCCCTTTCCCCACTGCTTCACTAAGTGGCCCTGGCAAGCACAAAGCAGGAAAAGACAGAGGTGGAAATCAATGGCCTGGGGTATGCTCCCCTCTACTCCACTCTCATGAGACCCCACCTGGAGTCCTGTGTCCAGTTCTGGAGCCTCCAACACAAGGACATGGAGCTCTTGGAGGAAATCCACAGGAGGGCCATGAAGATGATCAAAGGGCCAGAGCACCTCTCCTGTGAGGACAGGCTGAGAGTCTTGAGGTTGTTCAGCCTGAAGAGGAAAAGGCTCCAGGGAAACCTCATAGTGGCCTTCCAGTACTTGAAGGAGGTCCACAGAAAAGTTGGGGAGGGGCTTTTTACAAGGGTATGTAGTTACAGGACAAGGGATAATGGTTTTAAACTGAAAGAGGGAAGATTTAGGTTAGACATCAGGAAGAATTTCTTTAGTGTGCAGGTGGTGAGACACTGGAACAGGTTGCTAAGTTGTGGAACTAGGTGATCTTTAAGGTCCCTTCTAACCCAAAGGATTGGAACCCATTCCAACCTAAGGGATTCTATGATGATTCTATGCAGGGTTGCTTCTTTCAGCTCTAGCTCCAGGTTATACCAACTCAAAGAATTTATGACATTGTGCTGTACACTCCTGTAGGAACCATAGCTTGGCAGTCTGCCTATTGGATGTCAATGATAACAGACCCCTGAATAACTAAACCTAAGTTATCTTTCCAAGCTTACCAAGCAGTCCCACAGCTTACAGAGAGACTCATCGTTCACAGGAGTTTATAATTTGCAAACTGCCCAGACAAACACTGCTTTTCAGTGTGCTGGGGTGTTCAGTAAAGAACAAGTATGCAAGGAGACAGAGGTTTGTTCATGATGTCAAAGATTTTGCATAGCTTTATCTGCAAAATACACAAACTCCCACCCCTACAAGCATATAACCAGTGTTTAGGTCTAAGAAGGTGTTGCACACCAACCACAAGCAGCTGGATGCTCTAATACACCATGCATTTTCTCAAGGACATGTGCATCTATAGCCAGGAGAAGTGCCCTAAGCTACATACAGAACTTTCAGAGGACACCTGCCTGCCACGGGAACTGGCATTAGTCTGAATTTCCACCTATGTCCCACAAGGGGGAAATGTTGAGCTGAAAAAACTCAGGGCTTACACCGACGAAATGTGGTGGTTGTTACCGCTGTCAGCTCTCCCCTAGCACCGAATCAACCAGGCCGGTTTCCCCCTCTTCTGAAGGGCTGGCACTTCTGGTACGGCTCAGTGGCACCAGCAAGATCTCCATCTCACTGCTTACATCTGGGTCAGCTCTGAGTGGGTGATAAGTGCCACCGGTTGCTGGACAGAAACTTTGAAGATGTGAAAGCTGTGTTAAGTGCAACAGAGTAGATCTCCTAGTTACTACTACCCTCTGGTTTGACTTTACCACTAGGAGTCAAGAGGCTGCGGGAGCATCCAGCGCTTCGCAAAATCTGTTTCCTAAGGAGCAGTTTGCAGACTAAAACCAACATATATTCCTCCTCTTGCCCAGCCGTGCCTGCTTCACCCTAGAAAGAGCATTGCCTGTTCTTTTGACCATTGGAGAGTGGATTTGAGCAACTCGAAGATAAGCACAAGCACTCAGGGTGTGGCTGCAAAGCTGTTTGAGTTGATGTAATTTGCAGTGCCTGCAGTCCCACCCTCCTCCATGTGCAGCTACCCCTTCCCTTGAGCCAACTTGTTTTTTTTCAGCTGGATCACCTCCCTCAACTGGCTCTTTGTCCCAAGAGTGGGGGCTGAAGCTTGTGGCTGGGGGCACGACCAGAGCAGTCCTGACTTAGATTTAAGCATTCAAGAGACTGCCTTCCTTCTGCCTCTCTCCTGAAAGACTGCTCCTTGTTGGGATCTTCCTCTGGCATCAGAGGACACTGGCTTCTATGAAAACGTAATAGGAAAATCTGAGAAATAATAAATCCACCGGGATTTTCTTTTGTTATAACCTAAACATAAAATTAGTTGTTTTACCCAGAAATAGAAGTTGTGGAAAAAGAAATAAAAATACATCCAATCCTACATATGCAAACAATGCTCTAAGTGAGATTTAGCACATGGCTCCTTTGAGAGCCCTTCGCAGTGCTCAGAGGACCCAAATCAGCTGGCATGGGGAGGTTCAATTCGTCAGTATGGTTCTCTTTCATTCCAGTTATTGGGGAAACATGGGAGAGCCACCATGCTTGCCCTTAAGTAGGGAGCAGAAGAGCCCAGAGGGCCACAAAGAGTCCATCGGGCAGTGTCTGGTGGGATGTGCTTCTCCATCCCTGCAGCCGTGGCCCCAGCTCACAGACAAAGCTGGGGCCTCTGTACGGTGTGCGGAGCCTTAGGAAGGGGGAGAGGGACTTGTCATCTGCATCTCAGCTGGGTTGCAGAGCACTTCCTCAGGGAAAGAAGCGCTGCTTTGTTGGCATCCCTTGGAGATCAAGGGAGGCTGATGGAAACGAGCTGGCCTAAAGCAGCCTAATTTGCATGCTTGTTTTATAATGCTTGCAAGTGCTGATGTTGAAGGAGGACAAAACAAAAAAACACCTTTAAAAACTGCAGACTCTTAGCTGCAGCAATGCACAGCTTTAGCCCATCTTTAGCCAGCAAAGATGTGCCTAGGCTGAAAGGCTGTTCTTCCTCCCTTGAAAGGGCAGCCTGAGCAGGAGGCTGGAGGAGCCCAGGGCAAAGGAGGTTCAGCTTTTTCATTTCTCAAAGAAAGGATGTTTCTGTCCCATTTTCCTCTCAGCATGTGGGAGGGATACTCTGAGGCTCTTATAAGTCATTGATCCCTTTCTAAAAGAGTCAGAGCACTGCATCATGACCCGCAGAGAGGCAACCACAACTCAGGAAATTCAAATCAGCTTTATTCTCTTCTGAGATATCTGCTAAAACAGAAGCAAAGCACTGAGAATCAGCACAGAGCTGGGGACCAACAGGGATTGTTTGACAGTGCTGCCAGGCAAATCTGAATGGCCTACAGGGAAGCCTGGCTGAACAGAAAACAGCCAGTGTTGCCACAGTGTTAATTGCTGACATCCTGGGATGACATCTTAGTTGGGATCCATTCTCAGCAACTCTGAACAGAAAGTACAGCTGCTGCTGCCAGGGCTGGGTTTAGGCCTCAACCAATTCCCATAAGAGACAATGCAGCCTCAAAACAAGCTCTGCCCACTTCCCAGGCAGGCAGCATGCTTGCCTGATCAGGCAAAAGTTGTCCTGTTTTCTCTACCTGCTCCCTTCCTCCCTTCCATCTGTCTTCCACTGCTGCCCTTCAGCTCTTACACACTCTGTACCACCACCAAGCAAATGCCAAGTGAACGATGCTTAATCCCTTCCCTGCTAGTTAGGGCAGGAGGCACAACATGGCTGCACCCAGCCCAGCCTCCTGCACTCAGGAAAGGCTCTTTGCAGGACCTGGCTCAGCAGCAGCAGGCTTTGCCCTGTGAATCCCCAGGCTGGGGCAGCAGAGCAGGAAGGAGGCATGCACACACACACTGCTGCAAGGGCATGAGAGAACAGAACCAGGAATGTCTTCAATGTGAGGAAGTCCAGAAAGCCCACAGACATAGCAGCTTCCAGTGGCAGGATACACTGGTGAGGCAGAGGTACTCTTTATTTGCCTTAACTTGCCTTGGCTGACTCAGATTCCAATAAGCTGAGCTACTTCTCATTTACAGTAAACTGAAGAAAACCTTGCTATCATTAGGAATCACCAGTGCAGAGAGAACAAACACCCTCCAGGAGGGGAGAGGGCAAAATTTTGAAGAGCCTAAAAACTTTATAGACTTGCAGCTGTATTAGGTCCGACACCATGGGACATTTATGGAACACTTTTTTGTGTCTCTCTCATACTAGGGTTATTTTAGATGAACAAATCCTTAAAAACAGTAAAAGTAGGATCTGGTTTTGTTCTTTAGCTTTCAAAATAAAAGATGCTGTGAGGCAACTGAGGGTAATCAGATGCAGACACACAGACCATAAGCAAACGCAATAGCTTGTACAAAACGTGCACATATGCACGTGCGGTGCCAGACTAAGCCATAAGGTCTCTGTTAAAGGCAAATACTCAGTGATTCAGTGAAACAAGGTCAGCACCACGCTGGATTTGCCTGGGACTCATGTACCATAACTCTGCTGACGGGATGCAGAACTATCTTCCAAAGACACGGATCAGCATTAGTCCATAGAACGGTAACTCCTCCATAGAGGTCCTATTCTGATCTTTAAACTTCAGAAACTAACCTGAACTCTGAAGAACAAGGTTTAATATCTATTCCTGCATGGATTATCAATAGCTGCATGAGATACTTTTGGCTTTCCGTTATTTCTCAGACCACACTACTTGGCCTCAAGTGACATCCTGCGGGAAAGCGCTACTGTCACATTTGCTGTGAAAATATATTACTTAGTTGGTATTGAGTTTTCTGCATGTCAGATCTTCTTACACTTGCATGTAAAACAAAGGAAGAATTTCCTGATCTATCGTCTCTAAATCTTGTACTCTTCTATGTTCTTTTATCTTCTTCTATTGTCCTCTTTTCTAAAACACACAGTCCAAATCTTACCAATTTGTCTCACATATCAGAGTCTGTTTTCCTGGTCTCCTTTCTCTAAATTTCTTCCTAGAGCTGCCATCCCACCTGGGGCTGAACATGTGTGCTCTTGGACTACCTCTGAGAGGGCAAAGGGTGTCTCTAAGACTTTTCTGGGACTACTGCAAACATTGAGAAGATCACAGTGCCTTTACAGAAAATAACAGAACTGTTTTCTACTGTTTTTAAACCAATTCTCCCTGGCCACTACAAAAGACATGATATTTTATAAACTAAAGACATACTTGCAGATGTGGATCAATCTCAAATATTGTCTCTCCTCTTCGCATATCTGTTATCAACCACGGGCCTCCAGCTCTACAAAGAAAGAAAGGTAATGAACCAAATGAGGACTTAGTACTCCCCAGAGTCCTTTGAATGGATCTGTGCAGGAAGGAAGCACAAGAGAGAGTTTAAAACAAGCCAAGAAGCTCCTCTAAGTTGTTTATACATCCCACAGTACGCATTTGTCCTTTATATTTCTGAAACACATGATGAAAGCCCTCCATGATCTAGCTGTTATCTGCCTGGTGCCTGGCACCACCAAGTCTTGCAAAGCAGTCAGGATTCACACAGGCTATTCTGTGTGGACCCACTTACTCATACAAGATTGAGCTGGGTTTTAATCTTACAGGTAAGTGAATTTGGATCAAGAAGTCCAGTGTAGCCTAGGTCTAAGCAAGATGGGCAAGGCATGAGGTCAAGATTTATACCTCTATTACATATCTGAAGATGCAGCAGGGTCCCGATGGGTCTGCACTTTTTGCTGAGATTGGCAGTCATGTTCAGTACCATAAAAAGCTTACTGCTCTGATAAATATCCTCACAACAGACATTTTGCCCAGTTGGTACTTAATGGTCAAGTACTCAGATGGTTCAGGGAAAGCTTTGTTTTCATTACTTATAAAAGTCAGAAGGGTCAAGATGTGTCCCAACCAAGGTGACAGAAAGCAGATTACTCTGAAGATGAACTACTGGGAAACTTTACTTTGGGTCACAGTGCAGGCGGACTGCAGAAGCCAGCCTTAGGTGGTGCTTTGCATTTGAAGTAACAACTGCAGTCTTTTGGATTTGCCATAAACATTTTCATCTTTTCATGAGATACTTTGTTATTGCAGTCAAAAGCCCCCTCCTCTGGCCTTGTCTGTGTTACAGTGTCTTAAAGCACTTGAAATGGGAGCAGTAAAAGTTAATATTTTATAGCTTTTCAGATGTATCAATAGCCACTCTTTTTTTACATCACTTTGGAAGCTGTTAATTATTAACTGCAGAGGTGCCACCTGCTTCAGTACCTCACTAGGATGCAAGAGACTTTTACCCTGACTCTGCGTCTGTGGCTTAGTACTTTGCAGCTTTGTCTTTGAATCATGCACATTTGGGTTTCATGTTATCCTTGGAAAGGTGCTTGTACCACAGCACAAAAGCCAAAAAACAACGCGAGAACAGACTGAGGAGAGGGATGCTGTATCTGTATTGACTTAGAGGAGGCAAAGGAGCTGAAGGAAGTGTTCATTGTCTTGGGGTTCCACAAACAAACCTTGCAGCTGGACAAATTCACTCCACTCTAGGGCATTTGCATAAATTACCTGCATTTGTGCCTGAAGGAAAAAATCAAGTTTAAGATGCCCAGCAGCAAAAGATGGACTCTTCCAAATAATCAGTCTATGAAAGGTCATTGTGACTCTATAAAGTGTACTGTTGTGTCCAGGACCACATATTCAGATAATTTTGTTTAAAAAAATATCTTTTGACCTATAGTTATATGGCAGTATCTTCCATTAAATGTTAGAGAAAAATATTTAAACAAAACACGAGCAAGCCAAGGAAGTTTAGCTGCAACCTGGCAGCAAGTAGAGCATCAACATATAATTTAACATTTAAAACCCGTCTCCTCCTTAACCTAGTGACATCTTTGTTTTGCCATGGGAGAAATAACAAACAACTTCACTTGCATGAACACTCCTCCTACTGCAAATTGGCTCACCAAGAGTGGGGCCAGCTTGAGAGTGACTTTCTTACTTTCAGAGAGTACCCAGGCTTTGCTTGGCATTGGAAGTCAGCCCCTCTCCTTCCTTCCTTTTGAACTACCCAGAGAGGTCACCAGTAACAGTTATCCCAGCTCTCTCAGGAAGAACCAATAAGAAAATGCTGCAGGCATAAGAGGAAGGAAATTAAGCTTTCAAGACCTCACTGTTTCACCCTGAACATGTCAACTTCCACATGCATTAATTTGCCATCTAAGCATCTGTGCGTGAGAACAGATTTGCAATGAATTCCCATCTCTTGCTACAGCACAGGATTAAATAAGTTTCATCCACAAAAAGTTTATTAATAAAAATAAACAACTGAATTGTTCTCTATGGGAGTGCTCCCCTATATGGGCTATATGAGCACTTACACTGGGACAGTCCGAAGCAGTTCCAAGATCCCTTGCCCGTTCCACTGTTGAGCTGCATGCAATTCCTCAGTGCAAACCCCAACAATCTGGAATAAATGAAAACAGATACTAAACTGGATGGGAACTGTGCAAGAACTGTAGAGAAATTGTGCCACATGGTGCTAGATAAAACAGTGCAGATATAGAGAAGCACAACTTCTTTAAAGTAAATAGATGAGTGAGGACAAATGGAGCAATAGACAAGAGAGGGATTCTGCAATTCCTTATGTACTCCCTCCACACTTACCATGTGAAGTGCCCTAGTCATGTAACATTTAATCTTGCAGTGCATGTGTGAACTTAACTATGAGGATGGCCTGATGAAAGGTATACTGAAGATCCACTAGTCTGTTCTCACTTTTCAATCTAGTACACACAAGATAGGACAGGTTAGGGTCTGAGCACATGGAAAACACTGCTCTGTCAGCCAACTGCTAGGGGCAAATGCAATACTGCACCAGCAATTTCAATTAGGCAAAGGACCCGCTGACACAAGGGAATGCTTTGGTGCTCATAAATCCTTGACCAGCTCAGTTTGCTGACTAGTTACATCTTACCCGGCACCATAACGTAAAGCTGCTTACACACCGCATAATCCACTCCTCACTGCAGGCAATTGCAGGCTTCTGCCTTCCTGTATAAGGCAGGATGTGTTTGCTTTTCAGGATGGGAGCTGCCACACTGAGCAATACCAGATGTCTCTCACAGCAGCTGAGATCAGCCACTTCAAATGAAGGGGTGAAACACCCTTCAGCTGATCGGGAAGGCAGTTTCTTCCTGATCCATCGACCGCTGGCTTGTGCCTTTCAGCACAATGATTCACCTTTGGGATGAAAAATTATTTTAGCCATGGCCTTCTATTTTCTTCCTCCATATTCTGTGCCTTGGAAACAATGACAGTGACCTTTTGGTGAAAATCTGTTCAACTGACATTTTATCAGAAATGGGGAAAACTGAAAACTAAGCTCTGAAGAGCAGCAAGCAGAAGTGCTTGATGTGCCTTTGCTGCAAGCTTGTGTCTGCACTGACAGAGATCTGTGTGGAAAACCATCAGCAGCAGCATGTACCCAGTCCTGCATACCCTACCTCCCCTGCTCCTTGGAGAGCTCACTTTCTCAGGACTCTGCCTTTGGAGATGCACTTCATCCACACCCATCTCCCAGGCTTCCTCCATGAACAGCCTGAGTCACCCTCCCTAGGCCTTCACTCACTAATGACATACAAACAGCAAGAGTCTAAACAGGAAATTATTCTGTGTTCATTCTTCTCTTTTTGCAATCATTTATCCTCATGGGTCAAAATAAATCCATAACAACAAGCATCAAATAAAGGGGAAAAACAAGTCAACTGTATGTGTTGTGGACAATTAGAGGCCAAGTGCCTCAGGGTGAAACAAGCTGACTGTCCTTTGATCCAGGACAGCTGAGCACTGAAGAAAAGTTGCAGACTAATTCAGCACTAACTGAGGAGCCAACCAGGAATCACCCTGCTTAGTTTGGCTCTCTAACTCTGCTTCCAGGACCCACAACTCACCTTTCACTGATTAATCCCACACTCATCTCTTTCTTGTACACAAAACACAGGCTTTTGGGCACCTCAGAAAATTCAGGAAAGCCTTCACCCATGCATGGAGCTGCCTGGTGCAGGTCTGTGGTAATGGAGCCTCCCCTTAGATGTTGCAACTACAGCCAAGGACAAATGGGACCAACCTGAAGTTTAAATTGAACAATATGGACACTTGCATTTTCCCACAGGATGGTTTTTCAATGCAGCAGAAATCAGCAGTTGGTCTGAACTATGCCAGCTCTTCCACTAAGGTTAGGAATTCTGTATGCAATTAAAAAATATCCACAGCAGCCCCTATCTAAGAGACATCTCTGAGAAGAACTTTGGGAAAGCAAACAAACCTGTTTGTCCAAAGAAGCTCCCCTTTCTGAACAGCAGTGTTTGATTGAATTAGATTTTTTAAAAATGTTTCCTTAACAAAGCAAACACAAGCCTTTCTTGAACAGCGTATCAATACAGAAAAACTCACCGCCTCTAAAAAAAAATAAATCTTTCTGTCAACACTACAAGCTGCATTTCTACCATTAAATAATACTGAAGCAACTCTGAGTCCTGCTCCAAATTCTTCTTCTCCTGGAATTCAAACAAGTGGATCACTTACCAATACTGCCATAGAATTACTTTTAATTTAGCTCTACATTACTATTTAAAAATGTTTTTCTCAGCTTTTTCCCCTATGTTCATGTTTGAAATTTCAGAGCAGTAATGTAATATATTCCACTCCAGGACTGTTTCAGGGTGTAAAACTTCTCTCCACCAGACAGACCTCTCTATCTTGAGAACTGAGTGTGCTATTGCTCAATCCTAATAAAATGTTTATTGAATGCCTCCACAGTAACAACTGAAAGATGATAATCAGATAGGGAAGAAAGGTGGATAATAAAACCTGACTTATCAAAGCTAAGGGAATTTAATGTTAGCTGCCTTCCACCCCCAGGAGGCAACAGTCAGAGCCACAATTGCTGAGTCATACCTGTAAGAAAGTAACAAGCCCAAAAGGAGTCTGCACAGGCTGCATTTGAGGGTCTTCTGTCAGTAACATATGCTGGATTCTAGATTCACTGTTGTCCAAAGGGCTGTGCCATGATACATGATCACCGCTGCAGAAGGTGTTTTCTGCAAGGAAGAGAAACAAGAAATATTTAGTCTGTAAAGTCTGCTAGAATAGCATCTGCTCCTAATCCTCATCAGGCAGGGACCTCTGGTCTGGACCAGGACAGTAACTGGTGGGCTCTTCACAGTGACTGCCTCTAGCCATGTCTGCTGAGTCTCTGAGTCAGCTAAAGCACCTGAAGCAGGAAAAGGATCTCACTGAGCCATCTGAAACTGGTGTCTTACTTTGATATTAATCCCAACACAGGAATACCAACAAAAAAAATTAGCTTGTCTTTCATTTACTATTAGTCTTGTTTTCTGAGAGGGCACAGAGTCAGCAGGCCATACTGGGTGCCTATGGGAAACCAATTCACACTTACTTTTCAGCTCTGATTTGCCAGATAGAAAAGAATCTGGAATATGCATTAAACACAAATAATACTCTTCTATATCTAATAAAAATCTCTAGTCTGGTGCCCAACTTGTGATGGCCTAAGTCAAAGTAACTGTTTTTCCCAATTGTCTGATGGCTCTGGTGAAGAATTACAATTAATGTTCCTTCTTTCCCAAACAATGAGGAAACCAGTAGGCAGAATAGACTGCATCAAAACAATGAGCCAGAAATTTTTCCTCCCTCTTCACAACTGTAGCATTCCTTTGTTTTCCTCCTCTTCTACTTACAAAGACATAACCCCCAGATAATCCCATGATCCACAGCTTGTGCATGCCAGAAGGCACACCAGAACCCCCATCTGTATGCTGTTGCCCTCCATCACAGGAAAGGCTAATGACTGCTTTTCTGAGTAAGCCAGAAGCAGAACAACCAGCCACAACCATTTTCACACCAACGAAAAGATGTTCCACTTGCACACTGTTCCTAGAGCATGCATGCAATGATGCTTCCTAGCTGACTGCCTTGTCTTTGGGTCTTGTGCTTGTCCCACTCCAGGTGGAGCTTTTACAGCACATACAAATAAAAAGCCTGGAATCCATATTCTACCCTCTGAGATAGGTGTGGTGCCCCAGGGATGAACCGAATGCTGCCTGCCTGCTTCCAAGCCAGAAGTAAGCACAGTGTCTGGGCTACTGTCCCTGTGGTCAATCCCAAGGTCAATCCAATTTTACAGGACATTGAGAAGTGAGGCCTTGTCCACTGAAGGAGGACTAGGGGATCCAATGCAGAGTGGAAAAAATTAGTGGTTACTTGAGTTGCTGACTGTGAAGACTGGGGCATCTGATACGATACCGACCAGGATACAATTCAGAAAAGCATTCTCTTCTGCCCTGCAGCTATGAGCAGACATAGTGTCCTGGATCTTCACCTAACCTTCCCACACCACCTTCCATGTACGTTAATAGAACATCTCTTAAATGAGCATCTACAGACCTTATCTGAGAATCCTTGAATACGTCAGCTTCTGCAGCAGAAAGACAGAAGCAGCATTTGCCAGTAATTGCAGCTCTGCCCTGTCACATTAAACGACAGACACCAAGGAGCTGTTTGCGCGTTGCTCACCGCACATTGGCACCACCATGGCGGCGTGTAGTACCCTTGGCCAGCAGCAAGTGCAGGATGCTTCGAGGGAGCCATCAGCAGCACGTGGTTAATGCAACGAGAGTGTACCTTGCAGCTGCTGTGGTGAAAAATCCTCCCAGTCGTTGCACTGATGAGGTAATTCATGCTCACCCATCTGTGCATTTAGTGCAGGGCGTCCTGGGCAACTCAGTGTTTCTCCACCAGGTGGCCCCATTGGTGTATATTTGAACATTTATTATGTATGTGTTTTCAGATTAATTTATTGGACAGTTCATTTGATTAAGAACTAAAATTAACTCCAACTACCATAAGGAACTTGGCCTGAAAAACACGGCATGTAACAGAGTGCTGTGATAAATAAGGGAATGTTTTCCTTAGTTAAAAGTACGAAAGAAAGAAAACACAGCAAATGCAAGCTGCTTGAAATAAAGTGTTTATCATTAAGCACACGAACGCTTTGATCTCTACGACTAAAAAGAAGTGGTTCAGATATTACTTTACTTTTAGAGCTGGGGGAAATATAAGCAGACAAATTAAAAACATGCTTGTTTGTTGTTTTTTTTTCTTTAGTATCAAAACTGGATTAAAGAAACAGCACTTAGAATGTAGTGAAAGATCTTGTGGTATTTTCCAGGTTAGCCAAAATGTGGCTGATTAACTTTTAAATTATAAAAGCCTCTCAGTCACAGTTTTCAGGAATGAAACAAAGCCACAAAGAGCTTATTCTTGGGTCCTGTCTTTATACCACAACATTTTGCCCATCAAACGCTCACACAATTCTATGCTGATCGATCGCTGCTGGTGCTGCTTCTCCTGGGAAAGCCCAGCCCGTTTAGAGCAGGTTTTCAAATGCAAATGTCTCTGCTGGAAACCCACCTGTTTATGTCCATGTGAACACTGAACACTTAGAAAATCTCCCCTCTCCCTCGCACGCACACGAACACCACAAAATTCACACTGACTATTCAATTAAATCACAAAAAAAATTTCTGCAAATAACACGAAGCCGATATAAAGCTGTAAGAGCACAAGAAATTCAGAATTACAGCCTGAAACTCAGCGCTCCCCTTGCTGCATTGTAAGCCACATGGAATGTAAGATCAAGATCAGCTCTTGTACAGACACCATTGCAGAACTGAGGACAGCTTGAATTGCAGGACTTGTAGCTACAGAAACAAAGGACTAGATAACCACTTTCTCTTGCCTCATACTGGAAACAGGGATGAGCATCCTCCCTTCCCACCTTCCACACTCATCTTTTCAAAATAAGACAATCAAAATCTTTCAAAGCAATTAATATTTAAGCAATGTTTTAGCCAGAAAATCCTGAAGTTTTCATAAATGATTAATCCAAAATAATCTTATAATAAATTTGGGGCTTTCACAAATGTTCAATTAGAACATAAAACAACCAGATAAATCCTCAAAGTCATCACAGTACAAATAGATTTGAAAAGTCTCCTGTGGTTTTTGCACCTTTGTAATTTGTAGTGCTGTCAGTAACACACCATGGACAACTTGCCTTTCATCTACAAACACATACAAATGTGCTAGTATTTTCTACACGTACATACATATTTTCCATAAAACCAAGAGATAAGTAGGCAAAGGACACATGCACTCATCTCAGGTACATGATAAGCACTAACATTTCACATGGAGCAACCCACCTCAGTCAAACCTGCTTAAAGACAGCTCCTTTTGTTCCCAAAAATGCATCCCCATGTCTCCCACACCATGCGGACTAACTGGAGGAAACCAGCCTGCCATCTCCAAAGGCATTTCTGGGATCTTTGTTTTGCACAGCTGTGAACCAAGGATGGGATCAGGGCCTTAAGTGATAATGAAGCCAACATGGGTCTCTCAACCACATTCATGGTGTTACAGCCATACCTCTCAGTACACATTTTGGAGCCTATTGCAGGTAACCAACACAACACTGGCACAACTGGAAGCTTCTTCTTTACAAAATACTTGAAATTACAGACATTAAAATAGGTATTAATAAACGTGAAAGAAATCTTCTATGTAAAAAGAATATGTTATAGGAAGAAGTTTGTGTCCATCAAGCACTGACCCAGTTTAATAGGATTCCCTGCTACAAGCATCCCAAAACTATTTCCAGTGTTAGGCTAAAATTCAGATAAGCACAGAACATTCCTTTGCAAATTATCCCAGTTTAGAAAACCTAAAAACTTACAGCCTCAGCAGCAAAGCTAGTTCTGCAAAGATCCCATCACAACACTGATGCTCTCCCAGGCCCTTTTAGATTTGGGATCAGCCTCTGCTTTATCCAAGCCCCTTTAACAGCAACTATTGATCCAACACTTATCACTCTTAACAAACTCTGCTACAACAACCCTTTTGACCTGCTGTAATGCTGTGCAGATTAGCACCTGTGGCAAAGTTTCTTACTGGTTTTGAGGAGGAACTGAAGCATAACAGATGTTAAAAAGTCCTTTTTCACTGTATTTCCTAGTGAGACAACAATGCATTTGTGTCCAGAATCCAGGAAAAAGTGAGGTATCTTTCAGCAGCTGGGAAAAATCATGGGTTTCTACTTAAAAAAGAACCTTCTCTACCATTACAAGAGGGCAATTATCAGTCTCAGAGAAGCAAAGGCTTCTGCCTCTTTGAACTTATGTTACATGAATCCACAGCAAGGCCAACAAGAGATGTAACATGTCAGGGAAATAATTTTACATAATGGGAGGAGTTTAATGTATTCTTATAATAAAGAGCAATCCTCAAACCAGTTGGTGTGTTCCCATGCTCAGGAGTAAGTTTGGAGAAGACACTCTGAACAGGAAAACTGGATTCTGTCTTCTCTGTTGGTTTGCACATTGTGCAAAATTATTTTAGCATCTGGATAAATCAGCAAATCCTCAGCAGTAAACTAAGGCTCTGATTTACTGCATACAAGCTGATTCACATGGACTGCTGTTGAATACTTCTGCCTCCCAGTAAACACGAGGCAATTACATGTTCCTTCCACAAAAGGAAGAGCTAAGCTACCTGACCTGCCTCAGGAAAAATACATAACCAGCAGTTACCATAGCAGGGCTGGATATATTGGAAACACACAGGCTTGCATAAAGGAACCTCTTGGACATTTGCACCCACCCTGCTTGGGAAGGGACACTTACAGGACCTAAACCTGATGCAGCAAGGCGAGCCACCCTCACAGATTTGAAATGGCTTCTTTTCCTGCAAGCTTGTGTTGTAACCAAAAACTACTGGGTTTTGTTTTGTTTTCTTTCTGTTAGAGAATGTTGATTCCATGAAATCAAACTGCCTCACAGGGAGGTACTGATTTCATAAGAACTCAACAAGGAAATAATTAAAACATTTAATTTCAAATTTACGATCTTATTTCATAATTCATAACAGCAAATCTGAAGACTCTCTCCAGCTCTACAAAAATGTGAAATCTCTACATTTCCCAAAGACCAGCTCTTGTACCATTCTATTATGCAAAAAAAGC